TACAGTACCATACAAATGGTTCTGGGCTTTCCTTCTCTCTTCCTCTCTAGGACTGAATGATGAGTCAATTTATAACTGGAAACAGAAAGCAAAGATGTCTATATTGGGAATTGTATTGATACAGCTATTAGTAAACCACCAGTGCTGTTACCCTATGCTTTAACAGGAAAAAGTCAAGAAAGCAACACTGGCAGGATAGAAGACAGCTGTTCAGTAGGCGGGTAACACTTAGAAATTATGTATTCCTGAAACTTAAAATAGATATTCGAGTTTCAAATAAAGGTATCCTTCCTCCTTCTGTGCAAATATTTTCCTACATAAGATCCTGGGAGCAAACAACCGTTCATCACCATGGTGTCTAACCATCATTCAACCCAGAAGCCAAGACGATTATCACAGGAGTGACTTAATTGGTCTCACTGACAGTCCACTCACTGAGACTGTCTCTGGACTGCAGGCTCTGAAGTCACAGTGCAACACACACAAGTTTCTCATCTAAAAATTAACAGACACACCCGGCTTCCAGTCCTAAGCCAAAAAGCACTGAACAACTGCAGAGGTGAGCCAAGACCCCAGGAACCAAAATGGTACCAAAAGCAGGGTGTTCTGGAAGGCAGCCCTGATAGCTCGTGTGAAGTTCTCCAAGGCTTGCTGCTCCAGCAAACCATAACGAAGTACTAATGAAGACATGTGGCTAATCACACTCACAACACAGGTTTCATGTTCAACAGTAGCTTGGAGCTCGAGATGTCATTTCCACACGTTCAATATTCTGCTATCCCAAGGCCATTCACTTTCTCAAGTTTAACCGTAATCTGCCAAGGACTAGATCAGCATTGCTACAACAACAAACAAAACAAAGACACACTTGCAGAAGCAGGTTACTATGGCTTTTCAAATGCTGGCCCAGAACTCCACAGGCCCCTTTTAATAGGATCTTGCTAGCAAAATGTCCTTCCCGTCCACCCTCTTCATAATTCTGCCTACTTCTCTGCATACACTTCTTCGTGTCCTACACATCCATCCTCAGCTTTACTCTTCCTTTGATACCAACATTGCTCAATCCATTGCATTTTAGTTAGTACTACACCAGCACTCAGGGCAAGAGATAAAAGTTTTCTATTTTCAAAAGCTTTGCACACTACAGGGTTTTTAAAGAACATCCCTCCATCCATTTTCAGCCAAGTAAGAAAGGAAATTCCTCATGCAGCAGAGATTTCAAGTACTTCTAAGAATAGCTAAAAAGAGAGCACCTTCCCTTCAGCAAGTATTTATGAGCTTATGATAAAAAGGTAAGCGCCTCATCATCAGAACGGTATCTTCTAAGTTCCTACAATAGGGAAACATCCTCTCAGAGAAACAATCTGGTGCCAGCAGAGCCATAAACCAGATGGCTGCAGTACAGATGCCACAAGTGATTGCAGTTTACTGAACTTCAGATATTGCCAACTCCTGGAACAGCCAAGCTGAACCAGTCTGCAAATGGATTTTGTTTCAAATTTTAACAAAGCATTGCTGAATTTGAGTATTTCATCACTGCAGCCCCACACATTTGTTGACTGCATCAGATACTCAGTCTCTTAAAAATACAGAGAGTAAGAAAAACACTGTCAGCGGAAATAACCAAACTTAATTCTAACAGACTTGGGGAAAGAGATGCTTTTATTTCCTGCAGAAAGGCACTGAAGGGTAGAAGACGAATAAACAGCACATTCCGATTCTAAAGAATAAAACCCCAGGTGTCTACCCAAAACTCCAGACATAGACAGTGGCACTGTATTTCTGACCAGTCTGAAAAATCATTTTAGCCCAACACAATATTTTCTGGAAGACTTACACAGACTGAAGTGAAGATATATCCTGAGGCATCAAGGTATAATCAATAGAATTGTATTTTTTGCCAGGCCGAAAATCCATTTTACTCCAGTGCAACATTTTCTGGAAGCGTTAAATAGACCTAACCAAAGATATGTCCTGAGAATTTTTTTGTACAAACAGCAACAATAACGCTTGTGTTAGGAAGAAATCCCTCCAGAGTTCAGTATAAAAGAAAGTTCAGTCTTGAAATTATTTGATCTCTAAACTGTTTTTTCCCCAGAAACCTTGTTTCTCATCCCTCAAGCATAGCCTATGTTCTTCAAATGCATATAAAAATTAATTTAATTTAGAAGGATTTTAGCACAAACATGCCAAAGCAAAGAACACAGTTGAGCAAAAAGGCCTTCTGGTAGCTTTCCAGTATTGATAACATTTGTCTTCCTATGCCAGCAGCACGTTCACATATTTGCCTCACCATTTTCTTAATCTCCCAGCACCATCTTTCCTCTATCTTTTAATTACACAATTGCCCTGTATCTTCCCTGTTCTGACACTGGGCAGCTGCCAAATAACTCAGTAAGCAAAGTTTCTGTTTGGCTGGGTTTTACCTTTCCACATGCCTCTGAAGTTTTGAGCCCATTGCACTCTCAGTTATTTCCTCTCTGTTTCTTTAACTCTGCATGCTGAAGTAGCTTGTGTTTACATTTTGAAAGGAAACGTGCAAAGCAAACATCTGCAATCCTGTGAATAAAATAACAAGTCTTCATCTAATGCTTTGCCATATATGAAAAGTAGTCTTTTCCAGTTGTTGCTTCTATCCCATAGAAAAGCGCAGACTATTGCCATCATCACATCCCACAGTCCATTGCATAAGCTTATTTAATTTCAACCAAAGATTAGAAAACCTGTCCCCATGATTATTCTTCAGAGGCTGTTCCAGAGACTTCCTGTTCTCATCACTGAAGTTCTCTTCCACTTCCACCTTTAATTTTTAATTATTCCATCTTTTCTTTTGTAAATAGGAAGCTTAAACAGACCATCTTCCTCCCTGCTACTTATCTTCCTCTCTGCTACTTATCTTCCTCTTCCCCAACATAGTTCAGGCACAAACAGGTTCAAACAAGGATTAAACCAATCCACAGAGCCATCACTGCCAGGTATTAAACATAGCACCTACTGCTCAAAAAGGCTTTAAGCCATGGATAGCTGCAAGAGTAAACCAGAGTCATAAGAGCTCTACACGTTCGTCTTATACCTCCGCCTCGGGCTCCACAACATCCCTTTAGAAACAGTCTATTGAGACAGGTCTAGTATGGCTATTTTCACTTTTTTTGAAACAGAATTGTTCCTGTTCTCCTTGCCCACACTGCTGAGCCTCCCTTCTGAAAGAGTAACAAACTCATACCATCCTCTCTCAAGACATTCTCCTATTTTCCACATTACCAATCAAATCTCTCCAGTACCCATCCCATATTGAAGCCTCCCTTCTCAAACACTGATAACCACAGCTGTTCTCTGCAGGAATATATTTCCTTTTAGTCATTAGCTATTTCTTAAATTTAGTTTTTCTTCTATTGGTTTTGATTTCATGACCTTTGCTCTGTAAAACAGCCTTGTGCCTGTTTCCTTGCTGCTGCTGATGTGAACCTAATTTTCCTCTGCTCTCCACAGCACTTTCCCCATACTGAGATATCACAGCTCCATGTGATAAAAGTACATCTTGGACGTGCATCTGAATCAAGCCTGGATGCAAGTATCAGCAGCTTTTCATCTCAAACACTGAAAATCACCAGTCACTAGAGGGTTCTCGTGAACTCCAGAAACAAATAAAGTTATCCTGAATCTAACTGACCCTCTACATCAGGTTTTGACAGAAAACAGAGTTACAACTTACCTGCATTCTCCTGAACCAACTGCAACGCAGCAGCAATTTGCTTTGTCACAAAATTACTGCAAAGAAGCCAAGGTGTCAATGGTGCAACTGCTTGAATGCTATAAACTGTAAAGATCATCTTGAAACCCTCAAAGACTAATCTAGAAATGCTAAGCAACTGAGGAGGAACAGAGATGTTTTGCCAGTATCAGCTGTGTAGGATAAATAAGCCATTGCAAATAGCCCCAGTCCTAACTATGACTTATTTAAAATACTGCATATACCAAAAATACAAGCATAAACAACATCCATTTCAAGTTTCAAGATAAGCCATAAGAAAAGTAAATGACCTATGATTCACTGGTATCCCTTGCCGGATCATCCAGTCTGACTTTCCCAAACAACTGAAGCCTGAAGCAGATACAAGATTTGACTCTACGTATTCCTATAATCACTGACATGGATTTGCAATAAGTCTGCTTATACTTCACAAACTTTTCTGATTCCTTAGACTTAGTCCATCAAGCTGGAATGCAGAGTGAACAGAAAGAGCCCCATCTTCCTACTCAAGATTTAACACATATGGCAGAAATTTCTCTTCCATTTAGACTAAGATATTTTGCTCTCAAGCAGGAACATAAATTTGAGACCAAATCATGAAACTGTTTTACCAGCAAACAAAAATAACCTGACCAAGTCAGATGCCCAAATTAAGACTTTTTCCTTCCCCTTTTTATTTCCTTTTTAATCAAAATTCTTTTAAACTTGTCCACTGTTTGTGTAAGGCTGCATTTATTCTGCAAATTCACAGCTCTTGGAAGAGCTCTGCTTTGAAGAAAGAGCTTGGTTTTTTGAACACTGCAGATAAACCCAACAAAATAAACACAAATGCTATTAGTAAGATGAAATACTACCCATACACTCAAGCAACACCTTCCTATCTGACCCATCATCTGTGCTGGCTCAGCTCCAGGTCTCTAAGGCAACTCAGCCCTGAGACCCTACTGTTCAAAGGACAAAATGTCTTGCCAATCTGCACTTGGTACAGAGAATCGGAGCTCAGCCCATGGACTCTGTTCCGTAAGCAAGAACCTAGTGCTGCTCCAAAGAGCTCAAAACAGTAAAACAGGATGGTGATTAAAATAAGCAAACTGACTGTGACACCAGGGCAGGAGGGACAGCACAGAAGTCAGAATATCCAACCCAGTATCATTTTAACAAATGCAGCTTCACTGACTACTGAGGCATCACCCATACATTTAGGAAAGCTCTGGTAACACTTTCGGAATAGTCACTGGTCACTACTCACTCTGCAAGCAGTCAGCGTTGAGCAGGTCTTGGCACTTCTCATGGCACTTGACTCCACATTCACCGCAGCGCATTCCCTGCCGCGCAATCCCCCACAGCAGCCCCTCACATTCGTAGCAGTAGGTAGGAGTTGTGGCTGTCCACACTTCAAAGTTGTGTGGGGTTGTACAAGAGATGGGGTAAATTAAGGCTTGCAAGGTCTTCTTATAGACGTGAGACTTCTGAAAGGCGAGAGCACACAAAAACCAACATCCAGGAGGGTGACTGAACCTATTTTTACTGGTTAACACATGAGTTTTAAGGGAAAAGGCATAAGCTGCGCAATAAATCTACACATTTGAGGTAGCCAAATATATCATGCTTTTACAAGCAGCAGCAGAGGACACCCTTCCAAAAATGTTTCTCCAGGCATTTAAGAAAGTGGAGGATATGGAAGAAAAGAACTAAGGTTTGTGCATGAGGGATATCCTGCAGTGTAGTTTCATACACTGTCTCCAAGGGTAGCATAAAGGGAAACGGTGAGATTACATTTTTCAGGATCATACTGACACATTAAATGTTATTTTTTTACATGTTTGGTTTCTTTAAACAAATGATACAAGAAGCTCTCCATCTATATTTTTAGACATCTGTGAAGCTGGCTCTGCATCCCAGAGCGCCAAATTCCCTTAATTTGCTTACTAAAAGTTAGCAGGAGCCAAGCAACCCTCCCACTTACCAGCTCTTCATCTTTGAGAGATGTTCTAGTGGCCATTGCTGAGGTAATTCCGGCTTTCCGGGACTGAACCAGTGACTAAGAAGGAAGAAACTTTGTTATTCACCACAAATACTCAGATATGCACAGGCATTACATGCCCAGGAGATGTGACCCAGTGGATCCTGTCAACCCAGACAGCAAACCAGCAATCTATGACGTTCAAGTTGGTTTCTGAAATGACAGGTCACATGTCAGAAGAGTCAAATTAATACTCTGAAAGGTCTCCAACTTGTTTCCATTTGCTCACAACCAGTCTCACTCTGGTAAATTTTTACCTGTTTCTCTCATAAGATCTATCAGTGAAACCTGGGTTCACATCTCCTCTTATATGTGCTGTTAGCAACGGGAACTCTGCTATTGCCTAAGCTGTGGGACTCACTCTTCTATGTCTAACTTCATTCATATCCAAAAGGAGATTATTTAAATCAGTTTTACAACATATACAACATCCTCAAACGTCACAGTGAAAGGGTTACAAATAAACAGGACAAAAAAAGAACACAGCGGGTTGGGAGCACAGGTTTGAATGTGCTGATGTATCACATTCACTGGCCATCACCGAACACAATGAACAGCATTTACCCTTCAAAACTGCCTCTTTTGCATCAACAACAACACTGAGTGCTGCAGCCTCAGACAGCACAGGGCAGTGCCTTCGTAGCACCTCACACTGGCATACAAAGGACTTCTTCAGCAAGTCACTCCAGTCAGATTAAGGCAGAGAAGGGGTTGTCCCCATGGCTGGTGAGTTGGAACTAGAGGACCTTTAAGGTCCCTTCCAACCCAAACCATTCTATGATTAATTCTATGAGTCTAAGGAAATTAAAGCCAGAAACATCTGCTCTGAAATAATCGAAGCCTATCAGAAACTTCCATTTGTGCTCTGCTTTATGCATTTGAAAACAGACTGAAAAAGTTCATTCCTTCAGTGATGGAGCAGGAGAGAGCGCTGGATAGGCATGCACTGCAATACTGCACGTTTAAAGTAAAAAGCAAAAAGGTGGAGGGAATGTAAGGTAAAATAATTTTTGTTTCTGGTGGAGACTAGTGCATAGTCTTTAGCTCCACTTACCATGGCCTGTGGAGAAAGGGAATGAAAGCATACAAAGGAAGTAACACAAGTTAATGCCATTATTGAAGAGTCAAGATACAAGCAGTTAGTAAGACACATATCAAGCTTCCCATGCATAAGCTGGCAGAGAGAATTGCATGCATCTTTTCACAGGAATTACAGGACATGGAAACTTTGGTCTTTCAGCTGTTACAGCATTTCTCCCAAGTATGAAATCGCTACGTGTACTGAATGCAGCCAACAGAAAACCATTTGTCCCGCAAAAGCCTTATTTCACCATATCACACAAGCATATGAAACTTGTCCTCATTACTTTGCTTGGTTCTTGTGCTTCCTCAGTGCAGAAGCCTCCTGGCAATATTGCAAAGTACTTTAAAAATCCAAGCACATATGCTCGTTTATCTATGCTCTGAAATTCCAACCTTCTGGTAAGTTGCCAAACCTCACATGGACATTGTAACTTTTCCCAAAGTATGTGATTTTTAGGGAAACATTTAAAAATAATGCAGGCCTCAAAGTAATCAAATATTCTGTGTAGAAAACAAAGGAGGAACATAAAAAATACTTTAATTCTGCCAAATCAATGAAACCGTCTATAAAACCATACCTCATTCTCACTGAGATTTTTCTAAGCACAACTCCAAACCCCTTACTGTAAGAGTTAATTTAACTAAACAGGAACACTTCAACTCACTGAAGTGACAATGAGTGCTATCCCTACGACAAAAAGTAAAGCCACTTGTACCCATGACTGTGAGGCTGAAGAAAAGTATCTTACCAGATCACTGACAAGTGGAATTGGCTTTTTTTTGCGTAAATCGGGCATGCTATCAATGCCATAGAGACCACCTGCAGGCCTGGAAATTCAGGAGGAAAAAAAAAAAGATTGAAAAAAAAAAGATTAAAAATCTCACCAGCAGAGATAGACAATAAACAGATGAGAGAAACATTTTCTTTAACATTTTGTTAATACCATAGTAAATGAGAAAAGGAAGAATCAGTTAATGGCAAATGCAACTTAATAATAAACTGAAGCTACAGTTAACACACCAGTTTAATTAACACACTAAACAAAAGGTGATTTTCCCATTCTCAGAGCTGAGGGCCTGAGCCAGCTCAGAGTAGGTTGGGCGCGTGAGGGCAGCCTTATCCCTGCCACTTCTATGGCACACCATTTTGGCAAAAATACTTACCTAACAGCAGAACCAGAGCTCCGTGGTGCTAACTCACACACAGCACAGTCTGTGGTAACTGAGCCACATGCCTCTGCTTTCAGAATTACCTTCTGTTTCTTAGGGAGAGCTCAGTTTATAGTTTACTATAGGCATTGAGCATCATGGCAGGAAAGACTTTGGAAACTCGGAAACTTCCTGTCTCTGGTCTTTCTCTATCCTCTTTCTATTCATTAAATTATTTTAGGTTTCGGAAGTGGGGAAGATGCTCTACTGGAGGAAACAAAATCACCCAGAAGATTATACTTAAGTGTATCAGTGGTCACTGCTGTCCATGTGGTCAGTGGGGCAGAGACTGGTTGGGGGCCCATGTCTGGTGGTGTTCCTCAGGGGTTAGCACTGGTCCAGCTCTGTTCAATGTATTCATCAATGACCTGGATGATGGGACAGAGGTACCCTCACCAAATTTGCTGACAACACAAAGCTGGGAGGAGTGGCTGACACTCCAGAAGGCCTTGCTGCCATTCAGCAAGACTTGCACAGGCTGGAGAGTTTGGCAGGGAAAAATTTAATGAAATTCAACAAGGGCAAGTGTAGGGTACTGCATCTGGGGAAGAACAGCCCCATGTACCAGTACAGGATAGGGATGGACCTGTTGGGGAGCAGCTCAGGGGAAAAGGACCCTCTACTCTGCTCTGATGAAGCTGTAACATAGAATCCTAGAATACAAGGTTGGAAGGGACAACAAGGATCACCTAGTCCAACCTCTCAAGGTAAAAGTATAGTTTAAATGAGATGAGTCAGCACCCTGTCAAGCTGACTCTTAAAACTGACCAATGCAGAGGAATTTACCACTTCCCCTGGGAGATTGTTCCAATGTCTGATTGATCTCATAATGAAAAAATTTATTCTGGAGTCCAATTGGAATCTCTCCAGAAGCAACTTATGTCCATTACCCCTCGTATTTTCCATGTGACTCCTTGTGAAAAGGGATTCTCCATCTTCTTGGCAGCCACCCTTTATGTACTGGTGCACAGTAATAAGGTTCCCTCTAAGCCTTCTCTTCCCAAGGCTGAACAGGCCCAGTTTTCTCAGCCTTTCTTCATATGGCAGCTCTTCCAGTCCTCTGAGCATCCTCGTGGCCCTTCTCTGGAATGTGTGCTCCCCAGTTCAAGTAGGACAAGGAATGACTGGAGAGAGGCCAGTGTAGAACCACTGAGTTGATGAGGGGACTGGAGCATGTCCTGTATGAGGAAAGGCTGAGAGACCTGGGTCTGTTTAGCCTGGAGAAGACAAGACTGAGGGGGGATCTCATAAATGCTTATAAATATCTAAAGGATGGGTGCCAGAAGGATGGGACCAGACTCTTCTTGATTGTGTCCAGCTACAGGATATGGGGCAGTGGTCACAAACTGGAACATGGGAGGTTTAACCTAAACATAAGGAAAAACATTTTTACTGTGAGGGTACCAGAGCGCTGAACAGGCTGCCCAGAGAGGTTGCAGAGTCTCCTGCTCTGCAGACATTCAAAACCTGCCAGGATGTGTTCATGTGATCTTCTCTGGGTGATCCTGCTCTGGCACGGAGGGTGGATGATCTCCAGAAGTACCCTCTAACCCTGATCAAAAAACAATTACGTGTTCATCTTCACACGCAACAATCCAGATATTTCTTCCCAGTATCAGTGGTTGGGAACGAGCATGTTGAAGTGGAGCAGTCCAGGGGCAGGATGCTGCTACACATCATCTGGTTCTAGGCCAGAACATACTTAATTCTGGCCCTCAAGGTCCATGTTATTATTAGAGGAAAAACCTCACAACTGAAGAGAAAAGAAACTATTTTTGTTTCTATTAAAGAGACCCTTTGTGGTGCTCAGCATTTCAAGCCATGCAGACCTCCACACGCAAGAGCTGCCACTGTCTGGTAGAAGCGGCAATGGAGCAAAAGGGCCATTTCCACTGCAACACTCAGAGCCTGCTGAATTAAAAAGACCATACCCTGCTTCCTTCTCAATGAGACCAGCCTGGATAATACTTGGATCCTCCCATTCACTGGTAACACCACACAGATGCAAGCCTGTGCTTGAAGAAGGTCAGTTAATTCAGCTTAAAGGTGCCCAGTAAATCAACTGCACTCATCTGTAAGGCCTTAAGATAATGCTTTTTTTTAAGGTTGGGAACTGACCACACATTTCTCTGCTGTTGTGCCTATCATATTCACCTCAAACTGATGAACAGTCCTGCGATGTGACTCCCTCCCTACAATGAACACCCAGCCACCAGCCAAAACCCACAGCCCCTCTCAGTGTCTCACTCAACCTCCCCATCTCCACGCTGCTCTCCAGCCTCGCTAACACTAGGAACGCAATTCCTGAGGCCTTTTTCTTGGCTGCAGAGACTACAAAGGAACTTTCTGCCTCTCTATACTTAGCCATTTGTTTTCACCCCATACCATGCTGGCTTATACCTTTTTGTAGTTGCATGATAAACTGTCTGGCACTTTTAAGCTATATATTTTGCTGATTTGGTACACCACATACAGCTGAAATGCTTTAGGGCACCAGGAAAGAGGAGTATGGGTCAAGCTGTTCTTACTGCAATAAAAGACACACATGAAGCTACTCTTTGAAACAACCTAGGAAACAAAATTGCTACTACTAATTTGCACATGCCATGAAGACTGGGAGGCTGGTAAGTGACAAGAGGCAACCTGCACCCCTCAGGCAAGCAGGAGCAACTCAAATCCCATTTCAATGCAGACAAAAGTCAAAAAAACAGCCAGGAAACAACAGACAGCGACCAAACGCGCATTATAGCAGCCCATGCTCTAGGATGGAGAAGTATGTCATGGCACAGCCTAGCTTAAGGCTGTGTCAAAGAGCGACACAGCCTTTTAAATACAGAAACACGCCATAGCACTCTAATGGTAAAAATTACTTTTTTGATGGGGCGTAGGAGGGTGACAGGTCGGAGCCACAGCAGCGTTGACAGCTGCTGCTGGCTGAACAGGGCTGGTGGGAATGTGAGCAGTCACACGTGGCCACGCGAGCTGCGCCGGCTCTGCACGCAGCCTGAGTCACATCTGCACCGTGCAGGGCGCTCGTGCACCCTGAGCATAAACCCCCCGCGATCCCCTGCGACAACACCACCTCGCCGCTGGCAACGGCAGGCACACTCGGACATCAGAGAGGTGTTGGTTCACAGCAGTCAATTAAAACTACTGGAATATTTGGCCAAGACCATGAACAGTTTTCCAACGCTAGACATTGTTATAGCGAGGCTACATGGTGTTTATTTTAATTTTAATTTTATTTACTACAGTCTACCCTCATTTCCAATAAAGAATTCCAGAAAAACTTTTTGTCCAAGTTACACTACAACAATCCCTTCTGGCTTGTTATAGAAAAATCTGACCCACAGCAAGAAATAAGGAATATCTGCATAAAGTGTTTATATTGTCAAAACAGTCTTTCTGGGATCAAACGTGGAATTGTGTCTGCTGTCCTAATGTTAGAAACCCCTTCCAATACCAATGATGCTGTTTTGGGGTAAAATAGGTGTCACAGAAAAGAATACCAGCATTATTTCAATCATGATACAGCTTATTGGACAAGTTTTGGTCAAAGATCTGCGTCAAATCACTTGAATCACAAAAGCATATGCAAGATAGAAAAGGGGAGCCTGTAAGCTGAAAAGATGCAACAAAATGATCCCAAGTAAAAGTCAGTGACACAGCTGGAATTTACATTTCTTTTCTACATGATTTCCAATTTTTTTTTTCCTAATTCAATTGAAAGGGAACTGTGATAATCTGACATTTCCCAGGAAAGAAAAACATTACAATTGCACGTTTTATAAAATCGAGATGAGCCTAAACAAATTATTGTGCTTGAGAAACATATCTAGTCACAAGCTGGTTTGTTGCAAAATATTTATGATAGACTGAGGTGTATATGATAGAAACAGTTGTAAGGCCAGACTAATGGAGAGCAAGACTATTTAAAAGGTGCTGAAGAGAGGTGTCTTACTATCTAGACAGTTGCACACTCAGATGATCTGCTTTTAGCTTATTATTTTTTTAAAAAAAAGAAAAAAAAGAAACCATTCCTAATTTTCAAAATTATTCATTTTCTTGTGTTTTCAGCTACCTCAGTCTATTCAAGCACAGTCTCCACTTAAAATCAGTGCTTGCACAGATAGAAGTATTGACAGTGCCTCAAATATGCACACCATAGCTTTATATGTAATAGGGTAACTCTCCCCTGCAATGCATGTAATATTTATAACATTATTATGGAGTGCTGTATTGAGGAGTGAATAGCATTTCTGTATGAGAAGATGATTTGCAGTAATAAATAAAATATACAGATATGAGATATTAGACCCAAAGACTGATCCCTAATACCAATTGTACTGTTTTTTGAAGCTCTCTCTCCAAAGCCAGTGATTAGACAGGGAGCTACTTTAAGCATTAAGCTAAAAGCACACATAGCTTGAAGCAAGTATTCATCTTTTCATACGAGTTTTATCACGGAGATGCTTACATTAAACCTTGAAAATTTAAGCAAGCAAAGATGGTTTGCAGTGACAGAAGATGATTTCTTCCTTCAAAGGACACCACTTATCTAATTGTCATATGAAAGAACTCCAAATGTAAGTGCTTTAATATACTTCATAGCTAATAAGCCACAGCGTGGCTAAAGGTGGAATTAAAGGTTCAGCACCCACCACCAACTTTCCTGGAAATCTCTTGCATGGGAGGAATACAGTGCGTAACCCAAACTTTTTTCAAACCTACCTGAGCCAGTCTGCTCACACAGAAAGGGGAAAAAATTACAGACTAGAGCAAACATTGCCTTGAATTGACAAAACACATTTTTAAGTATTTCAGGACCGTAGGTATATTCATCTTTCAGGCTGGGAAGTAATTTCGTGTGCGCAAACCAACAAACTCGGTAGATTGTCTCCTTGTTAAAGTAGAAGAAGGTATGTTTACAGTTAGAATAAATCCCTGTCTTCTGCTCCTGCTAATTGCAGGTACTCCGTGAAATCCCAGGCTCCTCAGGAAAGCGGGGGGTTGCTAGGCAGCTCCAGGCATCTGCAGGTGTGGAGAACTCTTTGCGGGAATACCAACACTGCAGAACAATGCCTCCAAAAGCAGGAAGCCATATAACGAAGCCTCTGATTTAACTTTGCATTTTATTAGGAAGCTTCCTTCAGTCGCATGAGAATTAACGCATGCAACAAGCCAACTTCTTGCTGAGATTTCAGGGCAAATCTGCTGCTTCATCAGCTCCTAATGAGTGCACCACCACCAAACCGTATCGCCTTAATCACGTACAAGGCACATAACCTATCAGCTTGTAAAATGTGTCATTGTCTTTTGTTTTCCAGAGAGGATTCTAGGGAAGCTACCATGCTGGTACCTATTATGCAGAGTATCATGCTGAAATTACACACAATCAGAATTTGCCTGCTTCATTTGTTGTGAGTAGTGTGTGGCAGAGAGAACGCATGGCCTCCCACTCTCACTTGTGCAAAAGAGGCATGATCATCACTTCTTTAAAAATGATAAACTGGAATATTTCCAGAGCTACTTCACCTGTGACTACTACAAGGACCACAGAAATCATTGCAAAGACAGAAGACCTTCCCAAAGCTGCTTTTTTCTTCTAAGAGCAAAAGACACAGCAATCTTCCTGAGCTACTTTCCTTTCCTTGGTGCCATCCACGAATGATTCAGGGAAAAGGATCTCATCCACATCATTCTGTAGTACTCAGCAAGGATTATTTAACATTACTGCCATAAGCACTTGCCATCATCATGACACAGATCATACATTGCAAGTATAACTTTGTTATTAACCTAAGATCTCTTAAAGAGCTGCACAGCCTACTTCCAACTGTTTAAGAGGAGACTCTGAAATACAGCAGCAGCCTAGACCTAAGTGAGACATGGACACTTGATGATTCCTGAAAATAGCCATTAAAAACATCAGGAGCGACTGCAGACCTCGAAGTTCACTGCAGTTACAAACACAGGGAAAAACAAGGTCTCAAAATACCACTTACCCTCCTTTGAGCCAGGGTGGTTTTGATGGATCAGCCTCATCTTGACCCTTAAACAGGGGAAGGGAAAAGAACAATATGAAATTAGCTTCCAAAAGCACCAGGAAAAGTATTTAGAGAGTATTTTGAGGAAAGGATAACAGACAGCACTGCATGCAGGCAAATGCATACAGAAACTTATTCAAGCACCTCCAGTGACCAACACGTCAGGACAAGCCATTTGGACACAGGCAGGCTGTGCAATTTCATTGAACACCTAGAGCCAGGACCAGAAGAGCCTGTTCAGTGCACCTCTTCTTTCAAAAAAGGCAGCCTCAAAGACCAACTCCTTTATTTTTTTCCAACCCAACAAATGGATGAGTTATTGGAGAGGTCCTTTTGCTGCAGACTACCACTTATATGAACATGGTCATAATGAAGATGCTAAAACTAAAAAAAACTGCATGAAATGCACAAATGAGTGGTCAACATGAAACTTTATACATACACTTGTGAGCTTTGTTCATACTCAAATACTAAGACTCTTTAGGCCCCTAAGCAGAGGGGTCCCATTGCAGCTTCACTCATTCACATGCAAGTACTGAATTTCCAACAGGTGTCAAACAAGGGCCACCACTTGCAAGATGACTGAAGTAAACTGGGATCTCACAGGATGATGGAAAACACCACAAAGTGTGATATGAGAATTCATATTCATGAATTTAAACTATGTCCTTATGTTCATATTAGGAGTGTATTTATAAAGTGAAGTTTTATTTCTTTTAAAATCTTCAGTGGACTGATTAGAGCTGAGCAGTGTTTAAAGACTTGCAGTGTACCCGGCGGAAAAGTTTTTAAATAGGAGGAAAATGGTTTACTGGAAACCTCTTTGTTGCAGACTACAGTTCACACATTCTCCTGCACTCATTGAAAGAAAAGCTGGTTTCAAAGAGGAGTAAGCAAGACACACTGCTAATAGCTAACACTCATCTCTGCTGAGTGTAGACAGAGGTTCTAACTTGCATGTACTGCGAAGTATTTCTAGCCGTGGGACTTGAAACCTGAGAACCATCACAAAGTAAAAGAGTATCTGTCAGAAAATGAGCTCCAGTTTTATGCAAGATAAAGGACCACAGCCCTCAAAGAAAGATTTTTTTTTTAAATTTTTTTTTATCTCGTGCTTTGGATGAGCTGTGCAACCTCAGGTTGTTCACAGGAGACAGTCAAGGCGTCCCTAGAAGATCTGAAATAACCAAGAAAAACAGCTTTCTATTTGAGGTCTCAACTCGCACAACAGCAAAAGTCCAAATTTTTTATTTGATATTCCTACAACTCCAGGGCTAGGCAGATCTGAAGACTATGCAGTCTTACTTATTTTATTTCTGAACAGCCACAAGGAACATCACATTATTCACAACTGAATGGACACTCCAGCTTTTCCGTGCGATGGCACAGGCAGGCGCCCAGACCTGTGGCCCAGTTCAGCTGCTCATTCCCCCCATAGCCAGAACAGCACCCCGGGCTCTGGGCTCCTGCAGGGAGGATCATGTTCCACACATCTCTGCTTCAGGCTGAGCTTCCAGAGCCCCTCAGCCTAAAACCTGCCTTTTGTCTGGAAGAATGTGAATCAAGTGGTGGTCAAGAGGAAGATTTCAGCAAGCAAATGCAACCAGATCCTTTGGAGAACAGAAGTCAAGACATCCCTACCTTCACCTTTCAACACCTGGAGAGCTGTGGCTAGAAAGCAATCCTAAAATGGAACAATGTTTTATACCAGACTGAGCTTGACACCAGTCAGTTCAGCTGCACTGAATGACAGAGAATGACAGACACAAATGTGGCAACATTTACTGGCAAAAGAAATTAGTGTAACGGGTTTTTCAATCACTTTATCTGAGAATCTCTAAATACAAGCAATCAATATTTCAGACATTAACAGATCACAGACAGCACGGGCAATACTGCAGGCTGGAGACCATGAGGACATCAAGAACTCTGTTCAGGGGAAAAATCCAGAGAAAGCCGTTCTCTAACTGAGCAACAACCATTTCCTACAGGCAACCAGGAGTCAGCAGAGGACAGCCAAGAGCATGGATGCAGGGAAAGGCAGAAAGCGTACAGGAAACAAACCTCCATCATCTCCCAGATTTTGAGACATGTCAAATCAAAACGGTCGATAAACTGTACTTCTCATTTATTTCATTTATTTTTGCCAAGCTTTTCAGGCATGCAAATAGAAAGAAAACAAGTGAAGAGAAAGAGCTTCTCTAGGGTTGAGATTAAAAATCATCTTGGTACAACAGCACAAAACAAAAGAAAGAGCTTTCAGTAAGTGACAATATTGATGCAGGGGCAAGGCAGGTGATGGCTGTGTGGAAACAGGAGTTATCACCTGCTGAGAGCAAAGTAAAGAAGTAATTTGCTTCAGGCAGCATTCTCACTGAGAAAATGCCAAGAGAAACAGCACCTGACATCCATCAAACAAGGGCTGATGCCTTAGGACTGCAGAAGAGCCAATGCAGTGTCCACAGCTAAGGTGTGTGGGGGAAGGAGGGAAATGTGATCAAGAGTAGTGTAGGCTCATTACTGGCTTCAACAGCTTGGAATGCTTGGAGCAAACACAAAGGAAAGAATTAATGCGGAGGTAATTGGAAAACAGAGGAAACAAATACATAATACAGCACACACCCGTTTTGAAAACATTTTTTTTGTTTTACAAAGTAAATATTTTTATTTAGACTGTGAAAAGAATTATTGACTGAATTTTTATTTCACAAAAAAGCTCCTGATGTAACACCATGCCTCCAGCCTTATTATGCTGAGGAGTAGGGAGATTTAGGGTGGGTAAACAAGTAACTGTCGCTGAGCCAGCCATGGACAACGCAATAAGGAAGCTGGTAGGAGTAAGCAGGATCTGCTGATAAAATCTGTCGATGACAAACACCAGAGAATTATTGATACGGAACTCAGATGGCCAATGGAAAGAACTGACGGCAATGAAGATTGCAACAGCGGGGGGTTAAACATGGTACAAACAGCAAGGTCAGAGCCCCAAAGCCTGCTGCGAATTTGACTAGATGCAAGGTGGAAAAAAGCACAGGAAAAATGGACCTGAGTTCTAGCCATAACACTGGCCATGAGCCACTGTGATACAGCCATGTAAGGAGAGAACATCATCCACAGACTATGTCCAGTCAAATGCTTCCATAGAAATAAAAGCATAAATACCACTGTACTGTGCTGGCACTACTCCTTCAGAAAGGCAAATACAACCTTCTTATATTATACCAGAGTAAAAACAATTCACACAGGAAAATGGCAAAAGCAGTGAGAAGATGTCAACATGTTACTATAGAGGGACAACAGGACAGCTTGCTTACTCTAGCAAAAAGAACCTTCTTTCTGTGCTTTTTCAATAGGCGGGAGAAGATACCACATGGGAGGAGAACTGTGGCTAAATATAAACTGAGGATGAAAATTCAAAGGTGTCTAACCATGACAGTTCTGTAGCAGCCGTTCAAAAGGAGAAGATGACACTAAACCTAACCAGTTGTAAAGAAGGAAACTGGGCAGTTTATATATGAAGTAACAGCACAATACCACACAGTGGCAGAGGGCTGGCAGACACCAAGCAGTCCTCTGCAGACCCTTGTTGCACTGACACATGTAGTCAAAGAACCAGAGGCTGCCTTGCCTACAAATTTACCAGGAGGGTTGACAGGGTCCAGACACCTCTGGGAGCGTCAGTTTACAGCACTGATGTGGGTAGGAACACTTCATACACTCCTTTTCATTTAAAGGAGACAAATGGCCTGTTTAGATGGATTTGCTGCAGCTGGGGTGTTTCCCACTCTCTGAAGGCAGCACTGGCACCAGGACGCGTTTGGGCTCTGGGTCTTGTCACCAGCCATGGATCTGCTCGAGTTCAGCCTATGATGACAACCTGGCTTGCTTTGAGCCTGAGCAAATGGAGAAATGATGGGCAGATGAGAGGAACACTGGAATAACTGCGAGATTTTTTAGCACTGTCCTTCCTGAAACAAATGGGAGGGCAAAGGGCAAGCAGACATATTTAACACCTAGACACACACATGCTGCACATCACAGAAAAGTGGCTTATGCTTCACTTCTCTGCACAGCTTTGTCACTTGATGCCTCCTCGAAAGCAGCCAAACCTGTCTGAATCTGATATATTTTTTTAAAATCTCCAGTAAGCACATAAAGCAGCAGTGAAAAGGCGGAGAACCAAACATGTAAACAAAACAGCCCATCACGACTCATTTTTTAAAATTTATTATTATTATTTCTGATACTGATGGATGACAGTTTTGCACCTGCTGTCTAACAAATATGTTCAGCTGGTGAAGCGCTTGTCACCCCTACCAGTGCTGTATATTCACTCACAGGAAATCATGCTGTGACCAGTTGCTGAAAGGTCTTCTCCAAGTAATTAAAGTTCTTACCAACCAAAAACTAGCTAGCAAAATAATGCCAGTGAAAGACTAGCATAAATTTAATACCCTTGATTAAACAAGTCAACAGACATGATCATTAAAGGCACAATACTTACTCATAGGGAAGGCAATATTTAGTGAAGCCTAAAACAGAAAGTAATAGGAGTTTTGCTCACTCAGAAAAGCAGCAGTTAGGCTTACAAGTAATTTGAGAAGTTATTTAACCAAGCTGATATTTCTAGATTTTGCAATTTATCTCACATACAAGAAGATGTCTCAATGGACAGAACAAGCAATCAGTTCTGTAGAAGAGAAAGAAGATAAAATGGATGGAGAGGCATTAAAAAAAGAAAATCACCAAGTCAGGAGCAGCACAAGGAAAAGGAAAAACATCCCTAGATCTGTTAGCCCTCTCCGTAAATCCATCTTGCCACATAAAAGGCCTCCTAACAATGTAACTTGCCATCACACTCAAATACTGTGTCTAGCACATTATCTTCTTAGATAAAAAACAGATGTAAAATTTGGAAAGCTGCTTTATTTAAACAGGTAAGAAAAAAATCAATAATGACTTTTTATTTGTTTTGAGAATCATCCTAACTTGTTTTCAAATACCA